ACGCAGTCTCTTATTACCCCTCCAGTGCCCATCAATCTTGTATTAGGTCGCCAACTACTGTCTGTGTTGAGTTTAACATTAGGATGCTCAGGGGGCATCCAAGATGCATTTTCCTCCCATAATTTGCGATGATTTAAGAACACCATATTCGCAGCCACATCTGCCTTGATCTGACGCCACACATACGGAACTGTCCAACGGGTGGTACTCAACACCATCGTGTTTCGGAGTCTCCAAACCCACCAAGCTATCAAAGAAAGCCTTTCTGCTTGAGGGTGGAAAATAAGAGACTTGATCCAAGACATGGTGCAATTCATAGAAAAGAAATCTACAGGGGTATCTCCTGTCATCTCCCAAACATTATACGATATCGGGCAGTCGCGGAGAGCATGAAGACCATTCTCACGAGTATGATTACAGCGAGGACAAGATTCTACCATAGTGATATGACAGCGAAAACGTTTGCTATTGGTGGGGAGGGCATCATGCAACCCTTGCCATAGGAATATTTTGACCTTCTCTGGAATTTTGAGGCTCCACAATTTCTTCCATAATGGAGGAGAAGGCTCCGGACCGTGAGGGAACAAATAGTGAAAACCAGATGCTACAGAGTAACAGTCTGTTGTCGTGCCAGCCCAAGAAAAGGAATCTTGTTCGCCATTAGGAAGTGAGGGAATCTAGATATGGCAGATTCGTTCCTTCCAAAGTGTAGGCAACGAAGTAGCAAGGTTGTCCAAGCACCAGGAACCTTGTGACCAACAATCCCCTACTTTTAGATGAGAGTCACTTATATGTACGTAAGGCACTACCTGACTTAAGGTACCCGTCCCGAGCCAATTGTCAAACCAGAGAGAGGAGTTACCAGCACCAAGATTCACTGAATAACCCATATGAAGGATCTGAAAGGTTTGAATGATGCTTTTCCACACATAGGAAGAGCCAGGTTTCTTACCCACTTGCCACAAAGTCTCATGTTGTAGATATTTTGCGTGAAATAACTGCACCCAAGGCTTCTCAGGGGAATGCAATAGGTCCCAAACTAGCTTCCCGAGAAGTGCTATATTTGCCTGTCTAGCATCCCGGATGCTCAATCCACCTCTATCTTTTGGGAGAGTGATTAAACCCCAATTGGCTAAAGATCAGTAATGATTCCCGGCACGAGTCGACCACAGGAAGGATCTACTCATCCGGTCTAGTTCTTCACAAGTGGATGTTGGTAACCATAGTGTCTGCATAGTGTAATAAGGAATAACAGATATGACCGAACGAGTAAGGCACAACCTCCCTGCTTTATTCAACAGCTTACATTTCCAAGAGTCTACACGCTTCCTCACACGGTCAACAATAAACTGGAAATCAGCTAACCTGGCCCGCCCTTTGATCATTGGAATGCCTAGGTACTTGTCGATTCTAGACGTGCAAGATGGTTTGGAGCTCATCCACCCTATTACTGTCAACCTTCTTGGAAGCCACAAAACAAGACTTGGACAAGTGAACGTTTAACAAGTTTAAAGACATAGTAAAAACACATGATTTCATTCTGTTGTTACTAAATACAATATAAATACATTATTATTTTATTTCATTCCGTTTTATCTCATTTCACTATCAAACGTTACCAAATAAATTAAGTAAATTAATGAAAGTTATATAAAATAATTTATATTAAATAAATCAAGTAAATTAACGGTGATTAAAATGAAGAAAAAAAAAAGTAATTTATAAGTTACTTGTGAAAATAAATTACAAATCAAAAATAAATTCATCTACTAAACAATTTTATTTTTGGTCAAACTCTTTTATAAGCTAATCAAACTAGGTTATAAAATACTTTGTATAAACTATTAGAAATTTAGAATGACTTATAAAAGACGCAATGATATAAATGATAAAGTAAGAGAATCAACACTACTCCAATTGTGATATATGGACTACACAAACAAGCAAAACTGTGATACTTGCTTCTTATATATATATTTAATTATATTTTTTTATTAATAAATATAATCAATTTAGAGTTACAAAACTGATAAATAAAAACTAATATGTACTTTTAGAGTGTGTTATAGTGATTTATGCCGATGAAACATTATATTTAGATATATTTTATAACATCTCATTGACAAATATAATAAACAATAATTTTAGTCATTTATGAATTATATATTATATTTATAAATAATATGAGATATAATATAAAATATATTCAAGTTAAAATTTAAAGTTACTCTCTATTGAGGAAAATATTAATTTTTTTTCTATCACAAATATCTCTTAACTTATTAACTCTCGTTTGTAAAATTATTAGTGTCACAAAATGTTTAATGAGTATGTCAACTCATTAAAATTATATAAAGAAAAATATATTATAAAACTTAATTAAGTCATTTATTGTTTTTATTTATTGATTCATTTTAAATTATATTTATTTATTATTTATAAATATTTTCCATATTCATGAAATAATTTTAATTTCTAAATTAATAAAAAAATTAGAAATTTAAACATTTTACACCGTCTGTCAATGTATAGATAATGTGAAACATCGTTAGTGATCTGTATTTAGACTTAAAATGACTATGAAACAAGAGAGAATTCATACATCCCAATATAACATTCGAAGAAATGACTTAGAAAAACAATATTTTTTGGATTATAAAGGAAAAGGTCAACTGTCCAACCCCGTTGTTCCGGGTATTCACAACTTTGTTTCATAAAATAAGACAATCTATTGTTTTGAACAACGTAAACACCTTCGTTGCCTTCACAAACACCATTGCTACCTTAGAGTTTGTGCGAAATTTGCGCTTCGTTATGACATTTTTAGGCACCCCAAACCCCTTTTTTCTGATTTTTATCATCCAATCAATTTTTTTCTTTTCGCTTTGCCTCTTTTTCTTCATATATTCCCATCTTTCAAAGCAATTTTAGCTTTGTGCCCACAAATTCACTCTTCCATGAACTTTATTTTATCAAGGTACGTTTTCTGAACCTCAATCTTCTCTACTTTGGTTGTTGTAAATCTACTTTTTTTAGTTGCTTCATTCCCTATTGAACTTCGAATTGCATCGAGTTCTTGAATATTGCTTGCTTCTCCTGGTATCTAAAAGAAGCGTAAGTCAATCATCGCGTCACATGTCCATTAGTTGTTTTTCTTATCTTTGCATTTTTAAGGAACATATATATACATATTTTCTAAAGCAAACGTACACAATGATTAATGGATTATAATTGCTTTACTAAAAATACTTTAGGTATCTTTGTTTTTTGATTCATTGAAACAAATCTCTCTTGATCCTTTTTCATTTACAACTAATTCATTTTTATTTTTAACATACCTTCTTGACGATGATGGGTATTTTCCTATCAATAATGCATCAATGTGGAAGATGTGAAAGAAGAAAAAAAACGTATACGTAATAACGGTATTAGATGTCCAATTATGACAAACTTTCTTATATGTTTTAAACAAAGGATTAAGGACCATTTCTAATTTTTGGGGAGTTAGAATAAGTTGTTCTTTCCCCCCCCCCCCCCCAAAAAGGCGAGATAA